CTGCTCTGCATCGAGTTGGATGAACTAGATAAAGATGAGAACTCTGGCTTGCTGCTGCACCTAATAAGACGCATTCGCCTGGAGCGGGACTGTGATACCATTGTCATCTATGGGAGTGAGCCGTGTGTGTTTCATGAGCTTCTGCCTCAGCTGGAGTTGCCCACAGTGCTGCTCTCCCAGGGCAGCAACTGGGAGGATTGGAGTTTCAGCAGTGAGTCGCTGCTGCTCATCTGTAACTCAAATGCCGAGCAGGAGCGGAATAGGCGCACTTTACTGAAGCTGCAGCAGGCACGGCGATTGGTCTATCTGGAGGCAGGAAAGAAACCCACGGAAGTCTGTGAGGCCTACTTCGAGCGGGAGCTGGTTAATGTGGCCATGGTGGATGCTTTGGGTAATCTGTATAGCTGTCGCTGCTTTCAGCAGGAGAACTATGTGCAACTGGCTCTCAATTTAAGCAACAGCTATCAGACAGAGTCCACAGCCCTGGTGAACTTAAACTTCGACTTCGACAAAGAGTCCGATTCCCACTCTCACTACGATTCAATATATGTTGAGCAATTTGCCAACATGCAAGGATCTCTGATTAGAACTGAACCCGATCAACTAGGCCCACGTGCATTTCTTTATAAAAATCCTACCACAGGAGAGTATGAGATAAAAGGGTTCGTTTCGAATCTGATCACATCGTTTGCGGAGCGTGTAAATGCGACGGTGAAGTTACGCGACGACATTGGCCTAGGCCAGAAAATTCACATGAGGAATATCATTCAGCGGGTGTTGCTGGATCAGCTGGATATCGCAGCCACGCTGAAAAGCACTGTGGATTTTGAGAACTTTGACTATCTTTCATATCCCTATATCCACAGCTCGTATTGCTTCATGATTCCAGTCCCACCTCGAATGGACTACAAGGAAATTTATACACTGATTTTCCATCCCCTGGTAACTGGTGTGCTAATTGTCTTATTACTGATCTTCTCGCTGCTGCTAATCTACAGTCAAGAGCTCAACTGGCGCAGGTTCAGCCTCATCAATATATTGCTCAACGATCGCTGTCTGCGCGGTCTGCTGGGACACGCCTTTCCGATGCCCGCCTATTCCAGTCGGTATCTAAAAGGGATTTGTATGCTGGTCTGCTTCGCTAGTATCATGACGACGACCATGTACGAGTCCTATCTGCAGGCGTATTTTACGCATCCCCCACACGAGATGATGCTGCGCAGCTTCGAGGATATTCTCACCTCTCGCTACAAAATTGCAGTAGAACGAGGCGAGGCTATTGGTTATCTGCTTCGGAACTTTAGTTTGACTACCACCAATGTCCATCACGTCCACATCATAGACGATTGGCAGGAACTCATTCGCTTAAGGGAAACTTTCAATGACAGCTTCATTTATCCAGTCACCGAGCTGCGTTGGTTCTCCTTAAAAGAGCAGCAAAAGTATTTCAGTGAGCCCGTCTTCTACTACTCCCAGGACGTTTGCATGAAGCACTTTATGCTGCTATCCCTGCCCCTTCGTCGCCATCTGCCCTATCGCCAGCTCTTCGAACGGCACATTCTGGCCATGCAAGAGTTTGGAATTTCGCAGTTCTGGCTGCGCAACAGTTTCAATGAGATGGTTCGCTTAAAGGTGGTTTTGCGGAAGGATTATAGCCATCCCGAGGAGCCTGAGGATCAGTTGTATGTCAGAGACCTAACCCATATTCTCATATTTTACTTAGCGGCTCATTCAGTTGCCTGCATTTGCTTTGTCCTCGAGCTGTGCTGGGCGAGGATTTTTGGTATTAAATAATGCAATTTAGTTTCTAAACTTCATCTTGAAATCTTTCTTTAGGCAAGAGCCTAAAGAAGCAAAATAATAAAACGCTTCAATTTATAAACCAACTATTTGAATAAATGCATTATGATTCAGTTTGTAAACCGATTTCTTACTCAGTCAAGTCGGACTATAGTTTTGGTAATGGTTTTGTTAAATGTATTTTGCAGACAGAAGGAGGCGCGGCACACCCCAAACGTCGACTTGGCTCAGCCAATCTAATCTGTCTATCTATCCGTCCATATAAGAGCTAAAGACTTGAAATTTGATTGTAGCAAAACTGACATGAACAGAAAATCATTCACAAGCGATGTTAATAGCTGTGTTAACTGCCTGCAAAACATGCATGCCGCAT